TAACACTTATTGGAATGTCTAACACTTATTTGAATGTCAAACACTTATTGGAACGTCTGACACTTATTGGAATGTCTAACACTTATTGGAATGTCTAACACTTATTGAAATGTCTAGCACTCATTGGAATGTCTAACACTTATTGGAATGTCTAACACTTATTTGAATGTCAAACACTTATTGGAATGTCTAACACTTATTGAAATGTCTAGCACTCATTGGAATGTCTGACACTTATTGGAATGTCTAGCACTCATTGGAATGTCTAACACTTATTGGAATGTCTAACACTTATTGAAATGTCTAGCACTCATTGGAATGTCTAACACTTATTGGAATGTCTAACACTTATTTGAATGTCAAACACTTATTGGAACGTCTGACACTTATTGGAATGTCTAACACTTATTTGAATGTCAAACACTTATTGGAACGTCTGACACTTATTGGAATGTCTAACACTTATTGAAATGTCTAGCACTCATTGGAATGTCTAACACTTATTTGAATGTCAAACACTTATTGGAACGTCTGACGCTTATTGGAATGTCTAACACTTATTTGAATGTCAAACACTTATTGGAACGTCTGACACTTATTGGAATGTCTAACACTTATTGGAATGTCTAACACTTATTGAAATGTCTAGCACTCATTGGAATGTCTAACACTTATTGGAATGTCTAACACTTATTGAAATGTCTAACACTTATTGAAATGTCTAGCACTCATTGGAATGTCTAACACTTATTTGAATGTCAAACACTTATTGGAACGTCTGACACTTATTGGAATGTCTAACACTTATTTGAATGTCTAACACTTATTGGAATGTCTAACACTTATTGGAATGTCTAGCACTCATTGGAATGTCTAACACTTATTTGAATGTCAAACACTTATTGGAACGTCTGACACTTATTGGAATGTCTAACACTTATTGGAATGTCTAACACTTATTGGAATGTCTAACACTTATTGAAATGTCTAGCACTCATTGGAATGTCTAACACTTATTTGAATGTCAAACACTTATTGGAACGTCTGACACTTATTGGAATGTCTAACACTTATTGGAATGTCTAACACTTATTGAAATGTCTAGCACTCATTGGAATGTCTAACACTTATTGGAATGTCTAACACTTATTGAAATGTCTAGCACTCATTGGAATGTCTAACACTTATTTGAATGTCAAACACTTATTGGAACGTCTGACACTTATTGGAATGTCTAACACTTATTTGAATGTCAAACACTTATTGGAACGTCTGACACTTATTGGAATGTCTAACACTTATTGGAATGTCTAACACTTATTGAAATGTCTAGCACTCATTGGAATGTCTAACACTTATTGGAATGTCTAACACTTATTGAAATGTCTAGCACTCATTGGAATGTCTAACACTTATTTGAATGTCAAACACTTATTGGAACGTCTGACACTTATTGGAATGTCTAACACTTATTTGAATGTCAAACACTTATTGGAACGTCTGACACTTATTGGAATGTCTAACACTTATTGGAATGTCTAACACTTATTGAAATGTCTAGCACTCATTGGAATGTCTAACACTTATTTGAATGTCAAACACTTATTGGAACGTCTGACACTTATTGGAATGTCTAACACTTATTGGAATGTCTAACACTTATTGGAACGTCTGACACTTATTGGAACGTCTGACACTTATTGGAACGTCTAACACTTATTGGAATGTCTAACACTTATTGAAATGTCTAGCACTCATTGGAATGTCTAACACTTATTTGAATGTCAAACACTTATTGGAACGTCTGACACTTATTGGAATGTCTAACACTTATTGGAATGTCTAACACTTATTTGAATGTCAAACACTTATTGGAACGTCTGACACTTATTGGAATGTCTAACATTTATTGGAATGTCTAACACTTATTTGAATGTCAAACACTTATTGGAACGTCTGACACTTATTGGAATGTCTAACACTTATTGGAATGTCTAACACTTATTGAAATGTCTAGCACTCATTGGAATGTCTAACACTTATTTGAATGTCAAACACTTATTGGAACGTCTGACACTTATTGGAATGTCTAACACTTATTGGAATGTCTAACACTTATTGGAACGTCTGACACTTATTGGAACGTCTGACACTTATTGGAACGTCTAACACTTATTGGAACGTCTGACACTTATTGAAATGTCTAACACTTATTGGAATGTCTAACACTTATTGAAATGTCAAACACTTATTGGAACGTCTGACACTTATTGGAATGTCTAACACTTATTGGAATGTCTAACACTTATTGGAACGTCTGACACTTATTGGAACGTCTGACACTTATTGGAACGTCTAACACTTATTGGAACGTCTAACACTTATTGGAACGTCTAACACTTATTGGAATGTCTAACACTTATTGAAATGTCAAACACTTATTGGAACGTCTGACACTTATTGGAATGTCTAACACTTATTGGAATGTCAAACACTTATTGGAACGTCTGACACTTATTGGAATGTCAAACACTTATTGGAACGTCTGACACTTATTGGAATGTCTAACACTTATTGGAATGTCTAACACTTATTGGAATGTCTAACACTTATTGGAATGTCAAACACTTATTGAAATGTCTAACACTTATTGGAACGTCTGACACTTATTGGAACGTCTAACACTTATTGAAATGTCTAACACTTATTGGAATGTCTAAAACCTTTTTGAATGTTTAAAACTTATTTAAATGTCTAACACTTATTGGAATGTCAAACACTATTTGAATATCTAACATTTATTGGAATGTTAAATACTTATTGGAATGTCTAACACTTATTGGAATGTCTAGCACTTATTGGAATGTCAAACACTTATTGGAATGTCAAACACTTATTGGAACGTCTGACACTTATTGAAATGTCTAAAACCTTTTTGAATGTTTAAAACTTATTTAAATGTCTAACACTTATTGGAATGTCAAACACTATTTGAATATCTAACATTTATTGGAATGTTAAATACTTATTGGAATGTCTAACACTTATTGGAATGTCTAGCACTTATTGGAATGTCCAACACTTATTGGAATGTCTAACACTTATTGGAATGTCTAACACTTATTGGAATGTCTAACACTTATTGGAATGTCAAACACTTATTGGAATGTTAAATACTTATTGGAATGTCTAACACTTATTGGAACGTCTGACACTTATTGGAATGTCTAACACTTATTGGAATGTGTAACACTTATTGGAATGTCTAACACTATTGGAATGTCTAACACTTATTGGAACGTCTGACACTTATTGGAATGTCTAACACTTATTGGAACGTCTGACACTTATTGGAATGTCTAACACTTATTGGAACGTCTAACACTTATTTGAATGTCTAACACTTATTGAAATGTCTAACACTTATGTCTAAAACTTATTTGAATGTTTAAAACTTATTTGAATGTCTAACACTTATTGGAATGTCTAACACTTATTTGAATGTATGACACTTATTTGAATGTCTAATACATATTTGAATGTCTAACACTTATTGGAATGTCTGACACTCATTGGAATGTCTAACATTTATTTGAATGTCAAACACTTATTGGAACGTCTGACACTTATTGGAATGTCTAACACTTATTGGAACGTCTGACACTTATTGGAACGTCTAACACTTATTGGAATGTCTAACACTTATTGGAATGTCTAACACTTATTTGAATGTCTAACACTTATTGAAATGTCTAACACTTATTGTAATGTCTAACACTTATTTGAATGTCCAACACTTATTGAAATGTCTAACACTTATTTGAATGTCTAACACTTATTGGAATGTCAAACACTTATTGAAATGTCTAACACTTATTGAAATGTCTAACACTTATTGTAATGTCTAACACTTATTTGAATGTCTAACACTTATTGTAATGTCTAACACTTATTGAAATGTCTGACACTTATTGTAATGTCTAACACTTATTTGAATGTCCAACACTTATTTGAATGTATGACACTTATTTGAATGTCTAATACATATTTGAATTTCTAACACTTATTTGAATGTCTGA